ATAACCTTCACGTGTCAAGTTATTACTACTTTGGAACTGCTGCGGCATTCATTCTGCTAGTGATAGGTGCTTATCTTCATCTTGCAAGGGGTGATGCATTCCAGCGTTACTACTCCAGGGTTCCAAGGAGTGGCATTGACACGGATTGGAAACATCCAATCCAACGATTTGCATTCTTCACTGGTGAAGCATTAAGAGTGCTGCGTTACAAAAATGTCTTCTGCCATTGTTTTCTCCTCACTCTGGTAACTGCACAACAGTATATTGTTATGCCATCTGTGGTTACTATGGCAATAGACTTCCTCGGTAATGGTTGGTTTCCAGTATTGTTGATCCTTGTGTACAATATTGGTGATGTTCTTGGTCGAGGACCATTAGCCATGTACTATGTATATTCCTTACACTGGGCATGGTTATCAACTATGATGCGATTTGTTGTTGTAGTTGGCATCTGTTTGAGTGTACCACCTCAGATGCTGAGTGACAGACCTGCTTGGATGGCAACGTTTGTAGCAGTACTTGGACTTTCAACAGGTCATCTGACTACATCACTGATCTCTTATGCTTCCTCTGATGTACCTGGACGAGCCAAAGAAACAGTGGGATACTTGAGTGTGTTGAGTATAACACTTGGAATGGCTGGCGGAAGTGCTGCTAGTTACTGCATTAAAGCTGTATTGGATAGAACTGGATAGTATGGAACTTGAGCCGAAAGGTCCGGTGCAAACATTTATGAATTTAAATCTACCTGCATCACCTTAAATATGCCCAGAAATTGAGGTTTTGATAAGTACGAGGACATTTTAAAATAATATATAAGATTCAAAAATGCTTTTATCAGCCCACAGACAAATGATTGTCTCCTTGTTATCAGAATACTGAAATGTTTTAAAATACCGTAATGTTCCGAAAATAAGCCCCGGAGCTTATATTTTTCAAAGGCCCTTTTTGAGGGGCTTATTTTTGGAGGGGCTTATATTTGGAGAGGCTTATCTATGGAGGGAAATTTGCGTCTCAAAATCGATTGGGCTAGACTTATAGTTGGACGTCAATTTACCCTTGTTTTACTTTGTATTTGAGGGCAATTTTCCAATTTCAAGCCCCCAGGGGCTTATATTTTCAGGGGCGGTTTAACGGAGGGTTTTTTACATTACCGGTTTGGGGGGGCTTATATTTGGAGGGGCTTATTTTCAGAATTTTATGGTATAATAATAATAATAGTGATGATGATGATGATGATGACAACAACAACAAGTAATAATACATGAAGTAAATGTTTAAAAGTGATATATTTAACTATTATTATTATTATTATTGAAAGAGATTTACTTGCATGAAGTGTTATGCAGATAGAAGAGGGTTTTTGACCTTGGTGGATAACAACCCCCAAGATCTATCAAATGAAAGATGAAAAAAACATGATTCATTCAAATAATTTTAAGTTCTTATTACAGCTTTACCTCTTCATAGACTTCTTTAAAACGTTTGCCTGTTTCTTAGTGCAGTTTCAGAATTTGAAGAGGTGTTTTAACCTTACATGCCCCAAAAAAGTATCTGACATCTATTGCACATTTAAAATCTTTTGCATATCCTTGCATTTGTTGCAATAAAATAATGTTCCATTTTAGTCAGAAATATGGCCTATTTTGCCGTTTTCTGAGTTCACTCATGCCAAAGCAGTTGGACTGCTGTGCCACTGCATGATAATTAACATGAGCAAAGTTTTGGCAGAGGAGCTCTGAAGTGTGCTCGTAATGGTCAGGAGGCACCCTGTGTTTGCTAGAATGGCAGCTTCACCATCAAAATTCTCATACCCTCAACAGCAATGCTGCCGGCTATGCAGGCTAATCTTGACCATCATAATTTTTGTACTGCAAAGGCGTTGTTACATGAATGCATGGTAACTCAGTTGGCAGGTGCCATTTTAGATTAGCTTAAACATTACTTCATGGCAGATGGCAAAACCACTAAAAAAAAGGAAACCTTTAAACTGTTTTGTCAGTTCTGTGTTAACAGAGTGAACAATAATTGAATGGTTCTGTGTCAACACAATTTCTGGTCAAAAATATGTTGGGCACCATGGGAACACTGCCTAAAATAGCAGCACTTATAATATTAAATAATTTTATAATCATTTGAAATATACTGGTTGGGAATATATTTATGAAATTGTTGATTGAAATATTCTGTTGGGCTCTTCATGTAACGGATATGACACAACAATAATTATTTGAAGAGTTGTCATAATATTATTAATATATTGTATTAAATGGAGAGAAGCTGGATCAAAGTGTGCTTTGATGAATTTCTTGTGCCCAGTCAAAAAACATCCTGTCCTGTAAATTGAAGTCAGAGTAAAATATTGACATTCTTGTTCAAGTTGCAATGCGGTCATGTTTTTAGTGTAATGTTCCCTTGGTAAAAAGTTGATACATAACCTTATGGCATTCATAAAATATATAATGCTGAAAAATAACTTTTAACTTAAGGTGCAGGGATGTCACTAAGATTTTGAATTGCCGGGTGAATACGACAGGTAGGCGGGGAATATAAAACAGCTAGGGATTTCTTTTGGTTCTATTTTTCTTTTCTTTTCCTAGTAGCCTGGGGTCACATTCATAGTAGCCAGGGGAAATTCCCGGCCCCGGCCTCTTAATGACAGTCCTGAAAGGTGGCCCTGTCCCCCCCCTATATGAAATTGTTCTACTCTTTGTCAAAGATATGTTTGTTTTCTCAGGTATGCAAAATAGTTTATTTTCCTAAATCCTCCCAAATCTCTCAGTTTTTCCTAAATTGTTTCTACTATTCACTCCTTGGTTACATTATTTTACTCTTTCTAGGAACATTTGACTGGCTTTCCCTGTAGAGAACAAATAATAATACTTAATATACAGTTAATCTCAATTTTTGCATTTGTTATGTAAATTTTGACGACTGCTGTACTATAGAAGCAGCTTTTAAAGATCCGTGTTACGGGTGCATTAAATTGGAAAATCTGGATTTGGATTTGCAGTCAAATGTGAAATCCAAAACTGAATTTCAACATTGAGAAAACTGCTCATGGATTTTCCTTTCTTTCATTTCTTTGGGAGATCCGAACAAAACTCTTCTTAAGAACAGCAGTTTCACACACTCGTGTATAAGTAATGTCAACAAGACTAATGTTCACAAGAACAGTTTTTCAATTCCTTTTCTGGATTTCCCAATTGAAGAGTAAAGAAGGAAATCCTCAAAATCTGGATTTCAAAGCCACCTTGAAGACAGATTTCTGTTTTTAGCTTTTGTTATTGTTATCTGGGTTTCAAAATCTAAATACAGACTTCTCAATCAAACACACGTTACATTGAAAAAGGTCAGGTAATACAGGGTTCGTACAGGTCATGGAAAACCTGGAAAGTCATGGAATGTAAGAATTTCATTTTCAAGGACCGGAAAGTCATGGAAAATTTAAGTTTTGTTTGGCAGATAAGTTGCTGCAGATGACAAAGCAAGGATAACGTAAGATAAAGAGGAGTAATTAAACAGCACGAACGGCACGCATTTTGGTGGATACCAGAGTTTGTTTCTGGTGAACTGTTTAAGGTAAAAAAAAGGCTAAAACAAGTAAAGTTTTCAAAATTTTTGAAAATGACAGCTAAACCTAAGGTCATGGAAAAAGTCAGGGAATTTTAAGAATTCAAAAGAGTATGAACCCTGTAATATGTTATATCATCATTCAAGGTTGTCAAAAGTAGCCGTCTGCCGGAGAAAATCGCCGCCTACTTGGTGAGAATTGGCAGGCTACTTTCCTTAGCATTTCTTTACGGATGGCGTTTTTTAGATAAAATATCGCTGGACTGACTGCTTAATTGACAACTCAGCAGTCTACTTCAAACCTTTCTGACAACACTGATCATTACAAGCACAATAATATATGGAAGGAATAACAGTAATAATTGTGTGGATATCACCTATTCAGTTGATATTAATGTGCCAGCTAGAAGCGCATTGGTTCTTGTAACAAAAGATTCTTTGGTTTCACTGCGTACATATTTGATTAACAAAAAACAATGTTTGTTAGCAATGATGTCTCGTACAGAAAAAAAAACTGCAGTTTAGAGAAAATTGTATATACATATTATTAATATCAGCTAGCCTGGCTGGAGCCTGGAACTACATTTTAATCATATTATTTAACTCTGCTTTTCTGTATATTCCATATAAAGTATCGGATGTAGAAATCTTCAGTTAAAACGTCTTTTGATTCCACTATTTTATCATCCTCATGCATTTGGACATAAGCGTCCATGTTTTATGGGCTTGACATATGGCAATCTCAAACACAGCGGCGAACGCAAGCATCAGACATCACCAGCGGAAGTAGTATGGCAAGATAATATTCTCTGTCCTTTAAACAAAATTAATGATCTTGTCATAATCCACAAAACAGTCATCTTTTCTTCTTTTTTTCCCACTTCAATCTCGTTTGTGATTGGGCAGTTGTTTGTCCGTGAACCTTTCGAGATTTGCTGTCTGTTTCTGGCAAAGCGTCGTTCTCGTGTGCAGATTTATCTGAAGGAATTACTACAATTGCCAATATACAAATCAGCTGAAAAATACCGCCAATGAAAAGTCCATAATGAAGAACCAACTCCCAGAAAGACTTGTCCTCCATAATTTTGAAGCACTCGACGCTTGCACGCTCCATTGACTACGTCATGTAAAATTTGTATAAAAGTAACCATACCGCCTCTTTCCCAGAGCCTCTCGGAATTTTTCTCCAAACATCAACAAGACACAATGAGTTATCTAAATGAAGTACTAGTTTGCTTGGGCAATCCATCATGGCCATGGCGTTGCCTGTACCGTTTAATCCCAAAGACTATGGCTTATCCGAAGCATTTCGTCTCATAAACTACACCAAGCTTAAAGGATGAGGATGCAAAGTCCCTCAGGAGGAACTGCTCAAACTTCTAGAGGGACTTGGCGTCAATAAAGAGGAGGGGAAAATTGGAGTAGGGATGGACAGTTGTGTTCTTCCAACAAGACACGAGGGAATCTTCATTGTTCAAACCACGGATTTTTTCTACCCTCTTGTAGATGATCCTTATATGCAAGGAAAGATCGCCTGTGCCAACGTTCTAAGTGATCTGTACGCCATGGGAGTTACCAATTGTGATAACATGCTTATGCTTCTTGGCGTTAGTAATCAGATGACTCTAAAGGAACGCGAAGTCGTGACACCGCTTGTCATCAAGGGATTCAATGACTTAGCTTTGGAAGCGGGCACTACAGTTAATGGTGGACAAACTGTGCTCAATCCTTGGTTTATTGTTGGTGGAGTTGCTTCAGGTGTGGTGTCCAACAGCGAGTTTATTATGTGAGTTTAATTTGCTTAAGCTAATAAAATATTAACAGCTACTGCATAAGTTACCTCATATAGCCAAATTTTAACAGGGGGAGTTTACCCCCGGGGGGGGGGTACTCCCATACATTACCTATACGGGTATGTGCCGCCCAACGGGGTTGTGATTTTGAAGCCCCCGATTTAGAACGGGGTATCCATTTCAGAGACGTTTTCTAGAACGGGGTATAATATTTCGAATGCGCGAAAGCTCCAGTTTTGTAAGCGGCCATTTGAAATTATTCAAGGACAGATTGCTTTTCAAAATACGGTTGAATGCGTTAACAAGCAAACTGTTGTACTCTTGTTGCACCCTGGAACGGAGTATAAAAAACTGACCCATTTCTAGTACGGGGTATCAGTTTTAGGGCGAATTCTGGAACAGGGTTTAAAAAATTGGCCCATTTCTAGAACGGGCTATCAATTTTAGGTTTTTTTTTAAAACGGGGAGCCAATTTGGAGTTCCAGGCGGCACATACCCACCCAAAAAATACCCAAGTGCCCCCCCCGGGAGTTTACCATTCTCTTCCCTAATATAATCAGATGCAAACCACATGATTGTGAAAAATAAAAAAAAAAACTGTCTTAATAGACTTGTGGTCATAATGTTTTTATTTTGTTAGGCCAGAGAATGCAGTTGTTGGTGATGTGTTGGTTCTTACTAAGCCTCTTGGAACACAGATAGCTGTCAATGCACATCAGTGGCTTGAAGATGTGAGTATTTTACAATACAAATTTTTGCATGCTAGTTTACATTACCGTTCTGGACCCCCACCAGTGCCATGATTCCCCTGTTAAAAAAGCCATTGTCAATTTGCCAATCAGGTTGAAGGGAAGTTCATGTGGTAATAATTACCTGACATGCGTAGAATTATTCTTGGAGTCTCTCTGTTGGAGGCCCAGAACAAGGATATTGGCACCACTTTGCAGACATTATGAACTGGAGTTAGATTATGTCTGTCTGTGATGCAGGCTAGAAAGCCATGACATCATTTTTTGTAGTTTGCTATTTGCTCAAACAGCCTTCTTTCCAATCAAATAAAAATATCATCAATCAACCTTATTTCCAATCAATTAATGTTATATTGCTAGCATCTTCCAAATATGGTAAGTCCCAGTTGGTTATGAAGAATTAGACAAGGGACACTTATATACAGATACTATGTAATTCAGTGCTAGTGATGTTATCCCCCCAAATTGAGAGGCTTTAGCAACAAAAATAATACACTTGAAACTGGAAGGTATCAACAAACAGGGTTGAGCCCTTGCTATCTTCTACTCTTATCATACTGTCGTCTACTGCTCCATAAGTTTACTTTTTAACTCAAGTATGGCTCTGTGCAACAACAATATTAATATCTCCATGTTGTTTTTGGGGGTGAACAGCCAAAGTGGTGGGCACGTATCAAGGATGTAACAACAACTGAAGAGGTGGAAAAAGCTTACCAGAATGCCATGCAGTGTATGGCTAGACTAAACCGCAATGCTGCTGACTTGATGCACAAATATGATGCTCATGGTGCAACAGATGTGACTGGGTTTGGAATTCTTGGTCATGCAAGAAATTTGGTAGCTAATCAGAAGTCAGAAGTCTCGTTTGTTTTGCACACCCTTCCAATTTTGGCAAATATGGTGAAGATATTCAAAGCTTGTGGAGTAAATTTCAAGTTACTAGAAGGATATTCTGCTGAGACATCAGGTGACATATTTAATTGCTGTGTTGTATATCTATTCTTATTATTATAACAGTGTATTTAACCCTCTCCAGTCAACTGAGTTCAGTTGGGTTGAAAGTGCCTAAAAAACTTTAAAAGCCATTACCTTTCTAAAATATTATTTTCAGGTGTATCCATAGCCTGCGCGCAGACAAAATTAAACTCTGGTTAACTAATCAGAGTTTAGTTATCGTCTGCATGCAGGCTAGTGTATCCATTGACCTGTGTGGCGTAGTCTTAGAGGTGCCAAAAATGTCCGGTTGTAGGATTTTAAAATTTTTAAGCTGAAATACTGTTTTCATTCCATGCTCAGAGATTGTGGAAACATATAAGCCCTGAGAATCCATTTTTAAATCCAAGATTTACAGCTGATTTAGCAGCCTTCTCCTACGTGTATCACTGCTTTAGGACACAGAATGCCATGAACACTTAGGAATATACTGTGTTGTAACGAAAATGCCAGTCTGGTGTGAGATACATGTAATTTTAAAACAGCAAGCAGCAATGGTAATTATTACTTTTTTATTTTGTTGCTTGCTCAGATATTCTGATCTGTGCTGTTAGTGGTCACACAAATAAAATAATCATTCCTAAAATTGTTCAAGTGTTTACGGTTTTGTAAAAGAGGAAAATATACATTTCTCTGGCTTAAGGCAGTTGAACATTACACCAGCTGAGCTTACGAAAAAGGTAAGGTGGGTGTTTTACAGTCTCTATTGTGGAAGATAAAGTGAATTCCAAAATACTGGTAGGTATTAGAACTTTATTGGTTAGTTTTCAGTTTTTACAGAATTTCCATTCCAGTCCATTTATCCATCAGTTTTCCTTGCATTTCTTGTAGGTGGTCTTCTTGTTTGTCTGACACGAGACAAGGCTCAAAGCTTCTGTGATGAGCTGCAAGCTGTTGATGGACATCCTGCCTGGATTGTGGGTGAAGTAGTGTATGGCAACAGAGAAGTCAGGATAGATGAAGATCTGAAAGTCATTGAAGTTTAACCTAACCCCCTCTTTCTGTTTTAGTGTACTAGTCTAAGCATATTGTAAGCATAGGAGAGTTTGAGTTACTGACTGACTGTGTTTTTAAGATGAAATTGATGAAGTTGATGCAATTTATGAAATTGATGCAATGTCAAACATTTTTTTATTTCATGTTAGAGATATGTTGTTTGCAACATGTGTTCATGGCAACAAGAATTGAGCAGCTTGATGCCATTAGAATGATGTAACTTCTTTGTAGAAATTTTCATTTTTGTCTTCAATGAAGGCTTTTGGGAAAATTATCATTTAATCCTAAAAGGCGGATGCTTAAGGACAATTATGAAATTTGTTTAACAGAGACAGTGTCTATTTTTCAGAGATTCTGAAACCAAAATACATTGTATGCAATGAATTACTAAATAGATTTAAAATTTCATGTAAACTACTTTTAAGATCAGAAATGATTTCTGCACCTAACTAAATGTTTGCTTGGAAAAAGTTTCAATCCAGTGTTCTAAAAACAGTTTTAACAGTATGTTCATCTGAATAGTAAGCAATATGGGGACTGTTAAATTGATCTTAGAACTATGAGGATTATCTTTGTTGCACTATATACCACACCCTTTTTGCCTAACCATAAGTTATACAGTTTTAAAACACTCCTGTTTACAATATTATTTTATTATACATACTTGAATCTTAGAGAAAGATACTAAAGATGAAAGATAAGAACATTGTAATACTATTTAGCTTTGTAAATGCAAGAATATTAATAGCACTCAATCAGTGAAAAATACATGTATAATCTTCGTTTATCTAATGCATAAAAATGGCAACCATTAATAAAAAGGCAAAATATTCCTGCTACCATTTTGCGCCTCTTTTGGCCAAGGGCTGTAAGTCTTAAAGCTTGCTTTTGAACATTCTCCAACATCAAATCTCTTTGACCTGGTAAGGACAGCACACTGGATTGGCATAATCCAGAATAATTATTAGCCTTACTAGAGACCATTCAAGGAAAGAAAGTTCAGATCTACTTTCGGCTCAAGCATGGGCTTAATCATACCAAAACACCTGTTGGCTTTATTGCTGACCTCATGGCTGATATGGTCACTTCATCACAAGATCTTTCAATGATATTGATAATTCACTCTCTTGAGAAATTAACCAAAGCATTTCATAAACAGAGCTTAGACTACACTGTAAATGTGCCTGGAAGTTTTTTTTATTATTTCCTGGGTAAAATATATTTTGCATCACCATTTTTACTGTTATCTAGTATATTTAAAGGGTTGTGTTTGCTCTGAAGTAAAAATTTTGAAAACTCGCTACGTCTTTTTTTGCACAAACTATTGATTATTACAACATGTTGGGATATAGAAACAAGCAGAAAGCCTCACCTATGACTGAAAAACTTAATGCTTTTTTGCACAAACTATTGATTATTACAACATGTTGGGATATCAGACAAACAAAAGCAGGACAAAAAGACCCCTCACCTATGACTGCTAAAAAAACTAAGTAAAATGAACTGAACATTGGTGGGCAGGATGATTGGATGAACAATTATAAAATGGGAATGGGATTTCTTTTCTTCAGTGGTCTTTGCCGTTTCTTTCCCAACAACTGGATTACATCATTACATGGTTCGCACAACTTCAGACAAACAAATTTTAAGGACTTTTCAAGGACAAATTACAGTTTTCAAGGACCCCGTTTGACTCCTTTAACCCCCTTTGATCAACCTATTGGCTAAAACATGTCATGGAGTCATTTAAGATTTTCACTTCTTCAGCCATGGTTGATCACTTATTAATTTTTATACTTCCTTCTGCAACAAGACTTTGCAGAATGACTGGGTATGACTTGCAATTTCATCTGAGGTACGGAAATACCATTTGAAATAGAGAAACAGAAATCAAATATCGTTCATGCAAAAAAAGGTTTTCATGTTACCAGTCAGTTTTACAGGCTCTTACACCGAGGATAAACCAAATCTTCCTCGGAAAAATTACCTAATTTTACAGTAGTAAGGTGTCTTGCATTGACAAGGTTGTGAATTTCAAGGACTTTGCAAAACCTAATGGAGAAATTAGGTACTTTTCAAGGACCTAAACCAAATTCAAGGACTTTTCAAGACAACTGGTAAAATTCAAGACCTTTTCAAGATTGTATGAGCCATGGGATTACCAGCCACAAGACCCTACGTTTGATCGCTTCGGTTGGCCATGCTCTAATGTTCAATTTATTTTATTTTTTTCAAACATCATTTACACTTCAACTCAGAATTCAATTCCTACTCACAAGGTTGTGCACTAGCAAACTGTGCTAATCCTTCAACTTCATCTTCGTCTATAAAACAACTGTCAGCTTAAATATCCAGCCATTTTATTGAAATAGCTTGCTCATCAAAGCTTATAAATGGAAGGATTCATTCAGAGAGAATATAACGGGTTGTGTATTCCTTCAAAGTTTCAAGCATCCTAGTTGTTTACATTTACACTGGAAACCACGCCCAAAAAACCAAAGTAGGTGAGTGGAAATACTACGATAACCATATTGAGCAGAACACTATCTACGATGTCAATCTAGTATACAGCTTTTGGTATCTGACATATGCATTTCGTTACTTCATGGGCCTTTGCTATGGTGCCTATAAATTTACAAACTTACCTACTGGCCCCAGTTGTTCAATCACCGTGCTGATAATTATTAATCGAATATCACCAGCATATATATATATATATAGCTTTTGTCATTTAATTTAATTTGTATATTTTCCCTTAGCACTTTCTTTTAAAAATCAGTAGACATGCCAGTTTAACAAAAATGCCACATACTGTTTTAGCAAATCAAATCTGAGAAAATCCAAATAGTAATAGAAAACAGCCAATCAGAATTAAGCCGTTGTGAAAATGTGCACGGAAATAATTTCAAGGAGTACAAATTAATATTATGCCAACTCTCCCGAATTATCACAGGGAGTCTCCTGAATACTACACTGATCTCCTGCTCTCCCGTACGGGTCACCAATTCTCCTGGATAAATTTTATGTGCCTTAGTTTGAAATTTAGCCCATTTTTTTCTCAAAATTCGAATTTTTTTTATTTATTGTACAGTTTCAGAGACACTTTTGCACATATATAGTCACTGACAAAGATTATTTCATCGTTACGATGATGAAAACAAATTTTGACAGTATGTACCTCATGTAAGACTTCATATATAGACTGAAGTCAGTTCCATGTCATAATTTGCCGGTGGTGGTGGTGGTGGTGGTGCATTGACATTCATGGAAAGGGGGGGGGGGGGGGGGGTAGTGCAAAAGAGAGTCTCCAGATTTTAGATCTCCAGAGGTTGGCATCTCTGGGAGTATAGGAGTTGGTAAACGGTCTTGCCGTGGCTTAGAATGCTAATTATACAAAACAAATACTGTTTTTTTTTCTGGTATCTTGTTGACTATCTTACAGGAAAAGGTTAGCCACACTGAAATTAAGGCTTTACTCGAAACAGGCTAACCTTTTCAAGTATTCATAGTGGAAGGACTCCCAAAAAGTAACAACATGCGAAGCAGAAAAAGTCCCTGAAAACACATATAAGGACTGTCACTTTGAACAAGAAAGAAAACAATGCTGAGGGCACTGACAAAGTAGCCCATTGTTCACAAAATTACATTATGTAATTACGCATAATTATTAGTCAAAAGGTGTAGGGCGATCAAGATCCCGGAACCTCTTCCTTAAGAGAAAATGCCTTCGAAAAGAAAGGGAACCAGGGTCATCATCATCTTTATCATTCTTCTTCATTTTAAGAATTTCAATAGTTGACTTGCACGATGCCAGACGCTTCTCCAGATATTTGACTCGCTCTTCTACTAGTTGCTGGGAATATCTTTGCTCTAACTGCGAAAACAACTCATTCTTCTTCAGAGTTTCCCAGTTTGTCTCCTGTGAAACAAACTTGGACATACAGCGGTGAATCAGTTCATCGCTTAGCTGGTGTCTTTGAGCCATAACCACAAACTCTAAAGCTTCTTCGCTTGACATATTCTTGATTAAGAAATACTGCTCACATCGTTTTTTCAATCTGTCCATTTGATATTCACAAGATAGTTCCAATAAAGAAAAGCAATTTTCTTCATTGATACGGTGTTCAACATAAGGGTAGATAGCCCGTAGAAGTTCTTCTATTTCGTCTGCCTTTTTACCAGGAAGAGGAATTTCTGACGCGTTTTTCTCTTTAAAGTCGGACGTAAGCATTCTGTCAAAAACAGGTGAACACATCGATAAAATACAACGGTGAACGTGAAAGCGCTTTCCTTCGACTACAAGCACCAAGTCACTTATCGTCCACGGTTGAGAGAAATCTAGATCTGGTTTACAGGTCGCGGTTTTTGAAGTCGAAGGAGCACCGTCCTTAACAATCGAAGGATAGGCAGACGCCATTGTGGGATCTTGCGTTAAGCGTCCAGTCCCTTTCCGAAAATAATGGACTGCGCAATCTCGTACCGAGAGGGCAAACGAGAAAATTATGGGGGAGGGGTGATAGAAAATCACACGCATCTGACTTAAGAAAGCGGTGGCAGTTCAGGGCGAACAGCGCAATGGGCAGGCTATCTCATGGTGAGATATTTGATCGAGTACAGTTGCTATGGGGATGAGGTATTTGAGCCAGGTAGTTGATTTTTTTGGGCAGGAAGACTTAGGCCCAGTTCAGACGTCGTGCTTCTGCCGTGCCGAACTTAATTGTAATTTGGTTCGACTGTAGCACGGCAGGAAAACAACTTTGATTCAGACGTCGTGCCAGAGTCGAACCAAATTCAGGATTTGCTGATGCCTCGTAACAATTCTTCTCCCAACTCCCCGTGGCAACGCAATCTCGCCAAAATACATTAATATAATTTTGTTTAGCGCGGCAGAAGCACGACGTTTGAATCGCTGCCGTGCCAGAGCCGTGTAGCACGGCAGCGCTTGTCGAACTTAATTGCTTGCCGAACTTAATTCAAAAGTTTGATTCAGACGCCGTGCTTCTGCCGTGCTTTTGTCGAACTTAATTCCTGAATTTAGTTCGGCACGGCAGATTACTGAACTGGGCCTGAGAGCAAGGTGAAGTTGGGCTTATTGATGTTCATCTCTTAGTTCGGGGACCATCTAACCGAGAGAAAAATTGCTATTTTTATAATTCTGTGAAAGGTTAGACTAAGAGCAGTCTCTCTTTTTTTGGGTTTAGTGAGGCGACTGCACGCGCGCGCTGGCGTCGAGAGACTCGAGAAACGAGGGTGGCAGCCCCCCGTCTCGCGTCTTTGGTCACGTGCGTGGTCATTTGTGCGTCTCGCGCGTTTCGCTCGACCGACTAAGAAAAGAGAGAGGCTGCTCGTATTCTAGTGAACCCAGGAGTCATTTCATAGGTAGGTGAAGCATGATCGTTTGGGTGATAGTCTGTTGTTGACAGTGACTGACATTTGGACGACCTGTGCGACAGGTCAACACTCAATACGTAGTCGTCTTGTGCCTCAACTGCCCCGTAGCAAGCTCTTGCCCGTAGTCAATCTATCGCGTTTTAGAGCTCGGGAAAAGGTCAGTAAATTACTTTCCTGTAGGAGGTGTCGGATACTGAGCTGTGTGGCTGGGTTTGCTTAGAGTTTACTTATAACCTTGTTTACATTATAAGATGTAATGCACTTTCACATTTGAATAAAAAATGAATAAATCTTGGCGGAAAAGTGTCAAGCAATTTATTTTCCTTACTTTGTTTGCGATTTCAAAAAGCCCGCTCCCCCGTGATGCACGTGATCGGGAACGTTTTCTTAAACCATAAGTAATGAGCGGGTCTTTTCTAGCTACATAAATAATAATACAATAACTGTAACAATAGAATAATTAGATTAAGCGGCGTCCTAAGGCAGTTTCAGAAGATCACGACGCAATTTTGAAGCTTTCATAAGTTATTATACAATGATGACCAGAATAATCAGATGAAACAACAAAACAACAGAATAATAATGAGATATAAGCGAAGCATAATGTTCATTTTATGGCTGAAAACACAGAAGACTACGCCTGACTGCCCAGCTTGCGTCGGCGGGCTTTTCATCGGATCTTTTGAATAAAACGCTACATTGTCTTAGTTTATTACACCTTTTAATTATCCATGGGTAATTAATTTTGCGGCAAGAAAGCAAAAACAGCTTTTTTTCCGAAAGAAGAAAGCTGCTCTTTCGACAACGGGCCTCATCATTTTTCAGGATTTCATTTCAAGGTATCTCTCGAACTCTTCATATCTTCCCGGAAATTTCGTCCTTTTTCCATGAGTTCAACCTGTAGCCATATTTCTTGGCCCTTTCATTGTTATTCATAGGACATTGTTTGAGTTAGCATTATTTCTCCTCCGAGTACAGGTAATTTATGGCTGGCGGTAGTTTCCGTGTGCAAAGCCGACTTTTATGTCAACTCCACTGATATTTTTTTGTTATTATGTGACATTTTGCACTTAGTAATTGAAGGCACGCGTAAGAAGTTTACACAAATTGACCTTTTTAATAAGTTAACTTATAAATAAAAAAGAGAATATATTTTTCGTGAGATATTGTCCCGAGGCATTGTCAAAGGGCACGTATATTTTTCAGGCTCATGACTTACGAATAAACATTTGCCGATGTAGTCTACAGTTTAATAACGTTCTCATCATATCTGCTGGTGATTGATTATTTTACAGCCTTTTTGAAGGAAATATGGTTGAATAACTGTGTTTGGTTACTGCGTATTTGTTGGAGTGTAATTGAGGATTAACCAGTTGAAATTTTGGCGGGAATTTGGTGCGCAAGTGACATGACACAAGACGAAACGCGAGCTGCAAATAAGAAAAAAAATGCACCAGTGTTGATATTATTTTTCTATTTGGTTAAAAAAAATTCAACCACTGGAAAATCCGCGGGGAGTTGATCGCTAACTTTTTGTAATCAAAAATTTAAAACATTTAATGGTCCAAGGGCGTCACTGGCTTGATACAAAGGAATACTGATTTGTTCGCATTCGCGTGCGAGAAGTGAACGCCTGATTGCGAAACACTACCGCGCTTTCTGATTGGCCCAAGAAGAAAAAGGTCCGAAATTACGTGCCCGTGGCATTGTATATTTAGCGCTAGGATTTGAACGCAAACTTCATTTCCTGACTCAGCGTCGCTCAGAGAAGACTTCTTCGATCAACAAGTCAGTATTTGCAATTGAACAGTCTTTGAGAGTCAACATGGCAGAAAGAATCCATTTGACAAGGAGACGACAGGTACATGAGAGTTCCCTCTTTAACCGCTGTGAAATGCACTGTGTCGTTTAAATTTCGTGTATTTTTTTTTCTCATTCGTTTATTTTTTTCCTTCCGACAGGCAAGCAAACCTTTGCTTGAGCGACAAAGACGTGCACGCATTAACCGAAGCCTCGAAGAACTCAAGGGCCTTGTTCTTTCTGCCCTCTACCGCGATGTAAGTTGTTTTACTAAGCTCTCTTGAATTTTGCAACAAGTCGTCCTTGTAAATGCAAATAATTTACTGTAGCATGAAGTATCGTGTGCGAGCTACAACGCGTCACTTAAGAGTCTTCTTGACACCTGAGTATTTGGCCCTGTAATGATCAATGAAATTTCATTAAGGTTTTTCTTGTCGTTTGGTCTTTTCATCTCCACAGAATGATCAAAACTTTCAAAAGATGGAAAAGGCGGAGATTCTGGAGCTGACTGTAAACTTCTTAAAGATGATTCGAGAACAACAAGGCACAGGTCAGTATTCGATATGGGAATTTTTCCACAGGTGTATTCAGTTTTCCGTGCAAGCTGCGAAACATGTCATTTTGATTTGAGCTTCATTGGACCGATTATGTAGTTGGTTGCATTGACAATGGTCGCTGATATATTGTTCTTTCGGTTTAAGGTTACTGGACCAATCCAAGCGATCCAGAATTCCTGAGCAGCTATCGCGCGGGATTTAATGACTGCGCTACCAAAGTTTGCAAATTCATGGAAAACCAGCCCCGGGTAGACAGCAAACTACGCGAGCAGATTCTCGTACGTTTGGCAGCTTCTTGCAGCCCTGTTACGCCAGAAAGTGTCTATTGTCCCAGTTCTCTTACAACACCGTCAATTTACGGTTTTCAAGCGAGTGACTCTCTGTCCTGTTGCGGTGTCTCATCGCCCCCGCCTTCACCCCCATCAAGCGCATTCAGTCCGTTTAATCCTGGTAATGGTGCCCTTTCTGCGGTAGAAGCTGGAAGAACTTCCAGAGGATGTGAGGCCATTGAAAAATTGGACAGAAACTCTATGGATTCCACAAGTTATGCTAGGCCATTATGGAGACCGTGGATCTCGAAATCCCAAAATTAAGAATGTTATTGACGACTTTGGTGCTGTTCAGACGATATTAGCATGACAATGTACTATTTACCAAAGTGAACACTAACTGCGCTCTTAAGCGCGCGAAGTAACAACGGACCAGACAATTGAAAATCCGGCACGTGCATTTACACATTAAGTTGCATTTCACCAAAGACAAGTGCACTGCGTAAACGGAGTTGGCTGTTCTGTTATATTGCTCATATTGAGAGAACGGACAGAAGCCATTATATTATCAGAATTGCAATTGTACCGAGGTGTTTAAATTCAAGAGATCTCGATCCCGGTGTTTAAATTTTGTACGAATATAAGTAACGATTTCTACTTAATATTTGAATATAAAAATGGCAATTAAAATAGCTTTTGACACACCTGAGGTGATAGTTGTCCTGTTTTTTATTTCTTCTCTGCTAAACGGGTGGCGACTTTACTAACTGTCGGTTGCTAAGTCATTTACTCACTTCGCACGCTACTAGCTTTTATTTCGAATGAAAAGACCACCTGATTTTGAAACCATTATTTTTTTAATGTTATACACTGATTACCGTTATCACAGATTTTCTCTGGACTTAACTTTGATATGGAGTATCAATTCATATTGGTATAACTCCTCCAGTTACTTAAACGTCTGAGTTAAAGTTTTCTTAGTCAGCACCTCCCGAATGCTTGTTTAGCTTTGCTTGTTTTCAGCAGCTAACTGTAAAACAGGGTACATTCTACAAGTTGAATGTTCCACCAGTAACCCATAACAGCGTGTTTCTCTAGGCACGTCTTCGTGGTATATACTGACTGGTAATCTGCTCTTTATTTTCATTTGAACCTGGTTATAATGAGAAACCTGGCAGTTTTGTTTTCAATTTACTGGTGAATTTTGTCAATCCTTCTTAACGTCAATCAAAAATAGGTCAGGGGCGTTTTCTAAGGAGGTGGTGGAAGGAAGGGGGATTTGGGTTCCGTACTAATAGTACAGTTAATTTGATTATGATTTTTTAAGACAGTTTTTAAATAATAGTTAATTGTAGTATTTTTAAGTACAAGAAACAACAGTGAAACAGTGAGCGCTTTTT